CGCTTCAAGACGGCCCCGCGTGCCCTTCGAGCTCTCCAAGGAGGCCTCCAAGACTAAAAAAAGTGAAAACCATTGCGTGCTATGTGTTATGTCTCGTCGCCTTTTCGTTTTCCAGTGGCTCTTGAGGCCTCGAGATGGCCACGCTGGCCAGAGATTGCCCTCCAGAAGAACCCGACGGGCCCCAAGACGGCGCCGAGAGCGCTCAAAAGCAGCCGAAGAACGCCCCAAGAGATCGCCAAGAGGCGACGTGGGCGGCTCCAGAGAGGGGACGCTGCAAGGACCCCCCCCCGTACTCTTTGACTGACGGCGTTTCCAAGATGGCCCCGAGAGGGCCCCCAAGGCCTCCAAGACGAGCCCACGAGACCCCGAAGAGGATCCCAAGGAGGCCCGAAACAGCCTCAAGAGGACCTCGTAGGCTCTCCCAAAATAGCTCCAAATTAGCTCCACAATGGCCCACAAATCACCCCAAGGGGCTTCTAACAAGAGCCGTGTGCGAAAAACAAACAAAATCCTCCATGATTGATTCTGGCCGTCGTCGTGACTTTTTCTCTCCCATCCTTCCATTTCCTACTCCTCGTCCTCATCCCGCCCCTCCTCCGTTTCCTCGTCATCCTCCTCCTTGTCCTCCTTCCCCGCTGCTGTTAATCCTCCGATTCCTCCTGCGCCGTCCTCGCGTTTCTAACGTAAACAGCGTCGCCCTCTTGGTTGAGCACCATGCTGGCACACGTTTCTGATGAACACAATTTGCCTGGGCACCGTCTCTGGAACTGCTTCGTCCTGAGCGTTCTTACCCCCATGTCCTCCTACCTCCCCCATGCTCCCCCCACCTCCCCATCTGGCACATTCCTACATCCTCGTTTACGAAAGGATGCGGCGCACTGGTGTTCTGCGCGGATCACCAATGCGGTTGCTACCTCCCCCTGGCTCCTCGTAACCCTCCCCCCCCCCCCCCCCCCCTCAGGTCCCTCATCGTCCTTGCGACCTTCTCATGCTCTAGCATGTTGCTGTTTCCTCCAGCACGCGTCCATCCTTTTGCTGTTCCTCTTCTTCCGTTACTACTGGTCCTTCGCCACCGTATTTGTTCCTTCGCTTCCTCCACCTCCTCTTCCTCCTCCCGCACAGAACCAGTGAAAACGCATTCGGATCGCTGCGGCGCCGCGTGCTGCTACACATGCTGATCGAGACAACTCGCCTGGTGATTGCTTTTGCCTTGGCTGGCGGAAATACGCGAGGCGTCGGAAATGAAAGCAAAAAAGCGGATGAACAATAGAATCCCGCGGGCCACGGCCGAAACGCGTCAGAACAGATGTGAGGAGACAGGTGTGCAAGTTGTTTTGGACCCCTACTTGCTTGCAGTCCTTCTTGCAATCCTTCTCGGGACCTGCTGGGCTCTCCTCGAGCTCACTTGCAGCTTTCCCGGCGCCCTGTTGGATCCTGCCGCAGGCCCTGACAAAAGAAGATGACAGCGGGAGGGAAATGAAGCGAAAAACAATGCAGGCAAGAGGAATAAGATAAATGAATACGATGAGGAAGAATCAAGGGCACGGAAGACATTCGAAATTCGCTGGCCACGCGGCATTCACACGAACGCCCGAGCCGCATGATCGATTGACGTGCGCACATCAGAAACAAGGAACATAAAAATGAAAAACGAAGACGCAAATCCACGCTGAATTCACTCTTAGCACCGGCGAAACCAACTGTTCGCGCTTCCACGGCCCAGCGGCGCCGACGCAGATAAGTCGTCGCCGCGCAGGCGACTTGGGAAACCAGGACTGCGCCGCCTTGGGGCTTTGAGAAATGGCGGCGTCGGGCGAAGCAAGCTTTGCTCTCGCTCCCCCGTCGGAGCGTGGCCCCGGCGCCGCTTCTTCATGCGACTCAAGGAGAGCTGCGCAACGAAATCGGGGCAGCAGCTGGCAAGTCAGCCAATAAGCGGTCCGTCGGCTGTGGGATCGAGACCTACAGTGTTCAACTACCGACGCAGCGCATCTTAAACTACAGAATGACGGAACAAATGTGCCTAGAGCCGGGGACTCGCTGCCGCTATTCCAACATCTCGGTTCCAATCTGCATTGGGCAGATGACGCAGCTCCAGCGAAACTCGATGCAGCTCTAGCGGCACGGACCATAAGTCGGTCTTGAAAGCCAAAAAAGATGGCCGATGGTTTCCAAATCCTCGCGCGTCGGATCGAAAGCTGCCGCGGTTCCACGACGTCGGGACGCTGAAGTGGGCGCGGCAAACGCGCCGCCAGTGCGGCGTCGGAGACGCGGCGGCGCGAAGACGCGCGTCCGCGTCTCTGGCGCCGCGCCGCTGCAAGCTGCCAGTCATGCCGGGGTCGGGAAAATCAGCCAGCTGATGTGCTACAAGATTATCTTCTGTCTCGGAGAATTCGGCGCGCCGAGTCAGCATCAATCGCAAGCGGCACTCGGACGCGGAGCCCGCGGTGTCCACGGAGGCGCCCAAAACCGCGGGATGGCCGAGGGGGGGGGTTCAAGGTCCCAGGTTCAAGGTTGGGCGCATCTGGATGGCTGGCGCAGCGCGCCTGGCGGGGCCGTGGCCCCTCACTTATGCTTCACCTCCATTACGAACCCTTTCCAATGTTCTAGCCAGATTGAAGCTCTCCCATTGCTGTCACGCTGCTGGGCGACAGCCTGCCCCGAACGCCACCCGTGTGAATGTGCATATCTCTTGAATTTGTCTTCCCATCCGAACCACCGTGTCCGGCGTGGTCGGTGGAGCCGCAGGCTTGCAGGAAACGTCTCCATCTCCGTCTTCCACCATTCAGAATCCCGCCATGTTGCTGCTCTGCGTGCGAGCCGTTCCGATTGCATTCGCAGAACATGCCCAGCCCAGCACCATTTGGCCTTGTGGTGACTGTCGAGCCAGAACCTGATGCATGCCTTCTCTGCATGTTTGCGCGCGGCTCGGGTTGAACGCTTAATCCAATCGACCCATGGTTCGTTTGGTCGCCGACCTGGGCTGGCGACTTTTCTCAGCATCCTATTATGCGTGCTCTCCAGCAGACGTTTCTCCTTGACGGTAAGTAGCCCAGACTCGCAACGCCACAAAGCTGTCTGCGTGACACTTGCATCAAAGACCTTGAGCTTCTTGTCAAGATGTCCATCTCTCTTTCCAAGCAACGGCCACCATGTGTAAAACTTTGCCCATGCGGCTCCGATGCGTGACCGCAGCTCTGCGGAGGTCTTGCCATTGAGTGTCCACTGTGTGCCCAAGACCTTGAAACCTCCGCTTGCTGTCACCATTGGGATCGACTGCCCATCCACATCGACCGGCTGGACCTGGGCATCCACGCGAGACGTTTGAACCAGGCACTTGTCCATGTTGAGGTCCAGGCCATGTTGTGCCAAAGCTGCTTGAACATCCCTGATCACCTTGATGAGGGCCCGCTTACTTGCTGCAAACAATGTTGCGTCGTCTGCGAACATTGCGCGAGTGGACTTCTCTGCAATACTGCTACAAACACTTGTTCCAAAGCCATCGCGTGCCCACTTTTCCTTCAACATCTGGAACACTTGTCTCGTGACGTTGTTGAATAGAATTGGTGACGCGGGGTCTCCCTGCCGCACGCCGTACAATTTGTCGAAAGGCCTGCTCCGGGTAGTGTCATCGAGGTGCACGTATGCCTTCTGTTGCCCATATAGTCTAGACAGGAAGCAAACAATATCAGACTCAACGCTTGCCCCCTCCAAGGCATTGAGGACAGAGCTGCGGTAGACCCTGTCGAAGGCTTTCTCGAGGTCCAAGATTTGCAGCCCAAACTTCTTCACCCCATTCCTCGGCCTTCTCGGAAACCATTCGCATGAACATGACGATGTCGCTGCAACTGTAATCCGGCCGAACCCCCCCCTGCTCCACACCCTGCAAAGAGTCTAACAAAGAGCCGACACGTGAAAGCAAGATGCCACTGAAAAGTTTGCTGAGGACGGATATAATTGCAATGGGTCTGTAGTTATTTGGCAGTGTAGCCTCGCCTTTTTTGCACAGCACGATCAGCCGACTCGCCGTCCAGGTTGCTGGCACATCAGCCGTCCCATGCAGAATCTATCCAAACACTCGTGCAATTATGGGTACCAAGCCTTCGTGATTTGTCTTGAGCATCTCTGAATGAAGGCCATCGTCGCCACATGCTTTCCCAGCGCAGTTTTTTTCAAGGCTGCTCTAATTACTGCTGGCTGCATGGCTCCTGACCTGTCACCCTCGCGGCAAACGAATCCTTTGATGCAGCAGCATGCAAAGTCGCATAAAAATGTGCAAATACCTCTACAATGTCGCTGCTATCGGTACACCGTATACCATCTGAGCCAGTGACTGCAATTATGCCTTTTCGCTTGATCGGAGAACGGAGCAACTTTGCTAGCTCCCGTTGGCCTTTGCCAGCACTCAAAATCTTGTCAAGTCCCGCCGACCTTCTTCTCTTTCATCTCGCGCAAATGCTCCCATATGGATTGGGTCAGCAATTTGCGTTCTTCCGCATGCGTGGTGGTACTTCTTGTGGCCACGAGCTCCTGGAGTCTTGCACGCTGTAGCAGGGCTTGACACTCGGGCCCCCTGCCCGCGCGCGTGCCGCAGGCCTGGGCGGCAGCAACCACGCTCTCAACAAGTGATTCGGCATCATCAGGCGGATTGGCAACAAGCGCATCAAGTTTGTCATGGAAGGCTTCTGCGTTCAAATTCCTTGCATTGCAAGTTCCCCCCCCCGCCCCTCCTCTTGCGAATGGCCCGCGCTTTGACGGACATGTTCGCATGAACACAACGGTGGTCCGACTTGAAATCGATGCTGTCGTCAACCCCAGAACCTGCGAGCATCCCACGTAGAAAGCTGTCTGTCTGTCCCCGCCGATCCGCCTTTGACCATGCATGGGGCCTTCCTCGAACTGGCACTGCGTCTGGGGGCCGCGCGGCCCCTGCCGGCTGAAGAGCTTGCGAAAACAGACTTCCACTCGGCATCCAGGCCAAGCAGCTCCATCTCTCCGCCCATTCACTGTGCAATCCGCTCCTCATTGAACCACGCCACGCCCTTCCTGTAGTTCGTGTCAATGCGTTTCTTCACGTCCTCCCCGTTGCCGCCGCTGGTCTCGATGACGGCGCGGACGACCTTCCGCGCTGCCTTCTCCCTCCTGCTGTCCTCGGACTCCGGGTCCGCATGCGAGTCTGCGTTGCAATGCACCTTGCTGCCCTTATACTGGTGCACGTGATTCCCGGCATGACTCCCCATGTACTCCCACATGGCGTCAGCCGATTTGAATCTGCCCCCCCCCCCCTCTCCGCGAACTTTTTCCCGAACGCGAACGCATCCTCCAAATATCCCTTTTCGCTGACGCCCTCCAATATGCCACTCATGAACTCGACGACATCGTCAGCCTTCGTGTCCTCCGGGAACGCCCCGAACGTCACGGTACGATCTCTCTGCTTTTTTCTCGTCGGCCCCGGTCCTGGCTCGAGAAGGCGCCCCTGGTGCTGAAGGGCCCCGCTTCCCCCCGTGCCCCCCAACCTCCCCTTTCACGAGGTCCTTTGCGATATTCGGCAAATCCTCCTTGATTGTACTGACCTCCTCCCTGACTGCCTCCACCGCCTGCTCTGCTATGTTGGCTGTGTACTTGGCTTGCTGAGCTATGCCATGTCTCTTCCACCTCCTTCCTCGTCGCCTTCATGTCCTTCCTCGTGGCCGTCATCATGGCCATTATCTTCTTTAGCATCTCCTTTGCGCTCATGTCCTCGTCTCCTCCTTCCATGGCTTCGCCCTCTACCTCCTTCTCTTCCTCTTCAACCTGTAGCTTCTTATCCTTCGGCGTCGATCCCGCGCTCGTGCCCGCCTTCTGCCTTTCGGCCCTGCTCGCGTCGACGATCGCAATCCAGGTCGGGAGACAGAGGGCGCGATGCGCCGAGCTTGAGCCCAACTTGGCCTCGAGCCAAGATCGGGGGGCCCAAGAGGGGGGGGGGGGGGGGGCGCCTGAGATCGGATGCCCACCGCAGCTCGCGTCGAACCGCGCCCCAGACACCCGCGCCCCCCCCCTCCCCCGCGACGGCGCCCGACAATCGCGCGCGCCCCGCGGGGGGATCGACAGGGGCCCGCGATGGAGAAGAAAACTACGCGCGCAATTGCCCGCCGAGACGTCGACCTGCGCGCGCGCGAACCGCGCTGCAGCGCAGGTCGCAGTCTCCAGACTTCGGGGATCTTCTGACCCGGGTCAATCCAGACCCGGGTCAGCAGGAAACCACAAACTGCAATGCAGGAAAAAAAAAAACTGCAACGCAGGTCTTCGCAAACCCGGGTCAGCCAATATGCGCGGCCGCCTCGCGGCCACGAGCGGCTCCCAAACCCGGGTCAGCCAGAGGGGGTCTTCGCAGGGTCCTGCAGGATCTGGCGCCCTGGCTGACCCCCGTTTGCATTGACCCCCGTCTCAAGGCCCCCAAAGACTCTTTCTTCTTTCTTATCCGGAAACTTCCCGCGGAAAGCTGCGCGCCCTGGCCCTGAGTCGACTGGGCGAACGCGAAGTCGAACGCGCTCGAACTCGGCCGCGCACCCATTGGCCGCAGACCGAGCCGTGATGGCAGAGTGTAAGAAAGCCGCGAATTTGTCAACGCGCGCTGCGTGGGCTGCTACTTGATTGCTGACTTCATAGGGCCCAGTGGCCATGGCGCGCCACTGTCGAAACCAGGGGGGCGATCGCCCGCGGCCCCCAGGACTCTCTGAGACCGGTTGATGGCGCGAGTCCAGCCCGTCGCCGGAACTTTCAGCCCTGGGAAGGTCCGCGCGCGCGGGCCAGGGGGGCCCCCCTCTACAGCGGAGACGCCTCCCGAGGGGCTCTGACATTACCGCCGGGCACAATAGCGCCATGGATGTCCGTTTGGCCAACTTCGAGGGCCATGTCGACCTCGGCGAAAAGCCGGGAAGCAAAGTCCCTGGAAACCACGCGGGTTTAAGGCGGTTTCCTATATCGACAGTCTGACCCGCGGGCATCAAAGATCAGACGCTGGGCCCTGGTTTTTTTCCGATCGAGCAAGAAACGCCCATGCTTCTAAACTGAATCCAAGCATTCCACGTTGAGGAGGGGGTCGAGGCAGGGGCGCCCAGGAACGTCGATCGAGCCCAAACGCTCGCATTCGGGGGGCCCCCCGGTCTCAGGGGTGGCCCGGGCGCGGGAAGGCTGAGATGATCCATGTCCATGGGCGGCGCAGACACTGGAGATCACTGGCAGCTTTGGGGGGCCTGCAGCCGCCCAAAGGCCCCCTGGCCTGCGAAGTTAGAGGGGGCTGCCCCGACTGGGCAGAACGGTCCAGAACCTGCGTTTGTGCAAGATCGCACGCGAACGGCCTGCGCTGCGCCGGCGATGACTTTCCGGCGGAAGTGCCCTCGTAGCCGCCGACCTCGCCAAGTGCCCGCGCTGCGCCAAACGACGCCCAATTGGAGCGGCGCCGCCGTGCCTCCGCGCGTCGCTGAACAGAGCGCGGCAAACATCCTGGGCCACCCTCGCGCGAAACACGCCCCGGAACGGACTGGGGCAGCGCGTCTTGCGGGGCCACAAAACTATACCGCGATCGCGTCGAATACCATGCGCCCCCCCATGCAAAGGCCAGCAGTTTTGGGTCGCCCCTCAGGCCCTGGCCCCTCGCCCGCCATCCTTGAGCGAGAACCTGGCCTCCTCCCGTGCGTTTCTCATCTGCTTGGCCGCCTCGACGTCGCGCCCGATCCCCTTCGAGGCCCACTCTGCAGGCCCGGGGCAGGTCATCACCTTTCCGGCTAGACGGTGCGACCCTGAGAAGTATGCAGCCTCGTCGCTGCTGACGCCCTGCGCCTGCTAACTCGCCTTGTACACCTTGTTGTTATAGTAGTGGAACTCGATCACCAGGCAGCGCTTTAAGATGACCGAGCCTCACCAAATTTGCGAAGTCGACCTGGGCGTACTCCCCGGAAAACTGGATGGCCCTCAACCCGTGCTCCTTGTACGCCGAAGTCTATGTTCGTGATATTGAAATGCGACGCCCGCCAGCGGTGATGATCCATCGGGCCACCACCTCGTCGGTCCACGCACTGTACGCACCACAGCACCGTCCTCAGGCCAGGCATGGACCAATCCTTGAAGTCTACCTGATGGGCCTTCACCGCCAGCTCACGTCGCGGCCGCTGTCTGACGCCATGGTTGCTGTGCTGCACGGTCAGCCGGCGAAGGTCTGTGCTCGAGGCGGCGGGAGACTGGTTCGGGCCAGGCCGCTCCAGGAAGACCCAATCCCCCGAGCGGCCAGCTAGTACCAACGCGCGGCGTCCGTCAGGAGAGACCAGGGCGCTCGCCGTCGTGTGCACCACGTCGCCCGTCACGATCCCGAACGCCGTGTCGGACACCACTTCCACCCACCGACCCTCAGGAACAGCCCGCGCGCGGGCCCCGCGCTCGCTCGCGGGGGGGTGTCGGTCCCGCGAATCTTCTCCTCAGGCACGAAATCGGAAAACGCCACAGGGGGGGGAACCGGAGGAACACGCGTACCCCTGAACTTCTGACCCGCCGTTGGTACGACAAGCTCCATTCAAGTGGTCATACGCAGCCTTCGACATCATGCGACCTGCTGACTGTAGCTGGGAAGTGCGTTGCCCAATGCCTCAATAGGCTTGCTACGGATATCCGAGCCGCAGCACACTGTTAAGGCCGCTGCGAAAAGGCACGGCGCAGTATGAAGGGCCATGTTCATAATGCGTTGTGCATTATATACTAAGTGGAGCTGTAGCGTGGCTGAGAGTGATGTCGTGCTGACCAACCCTCAGCCAACGTGACGAAATGCGAGTAGAAGGAGGAAAGGTCGGAGTAGGAAGAGGAGTAGGGTTATAGGCGAAGTAGTCTTGTCCTCGAATTGTATGTCAATGCTGTTGCGTTGCTTATCGGGAACAAACAAATCAGTTCGAGTCATCTGCGTTTAGAGCCCTAGTCATAGTGAGCTGCATGGCGTGGCCAACTCTACTGGGAGGCTAATCGAATCGTATCAACAGTTCTAACACCGGCAAGCAGTGAACGAAAAAGGGATGGACAAATTGGCGATGTTGGAGCGACTTACATGCCTCAAAAACCCATCGGCAGCGACAAACCTCACAAGTCACTCACAGACGCGGCTCATGATGGTGATGATCTATGATGATGAGGGGAATGATGTGGTGGTGATGTGTTCCTGCTCGGAGTGTCCAGAGAAGATGATGCTGAGTGGTGAGAGAGGTTGTGTGATGTGCGACTGCTTATGATGATGACGGCGCTGGTGGTGATGATGATGATGATGATGACGTGGGCAACTCTGGAGGCCAGGGGCTATCTTTTTGTGCAAAGGACTCGGCAACAGGCGAGGACAGCGGACGCATGCTGTCGCGATGCACCAGGTACAACATTCTAGAGCGGGAAACAGGGCGGGCGGGAGAAGCTTGAGAATGGAAGTGCGGCCCGAAAGAGAGCCACAAAAAGCCGCGGGCAGCAATATGTGGGCAACTCTGGAGGCCAGGGGCTATCTTTTTGTGCAAAGGACTCGGCAACAGGCGAGGGCAGCGGACGCATGCTGTCGCGATGCACCAGGTACCTAGGCTAGCCCATCCCACTGGCTTGAAAGCCGCATTAACTGAATTCACACAGCTCTGATCTGCCGAGCAATGTAGCGAAGCGAATCAACACTGAGAGCCATCCTGTCGCAGGCGCATCTTAGAACATTAGCGGGGAGCCGCAGCGCTTTGCTGCGTACCTGCCGATCTAAAGATGGGATGCCGAGCTCGCCAAGATGCCGTTTCCCAGATCGGCAGCAACGCGAGTCGGCCGGCGAACAGATAGCAGAAAGAGAACTCATGTCTTGTACATGCCAGCTCACTAATCAAAATCTTTTCTTTATACGGCCAGCGAACATACATGCATCGAAGACTGCAGCAGACGAACATTGGCTAACTATAGCTTTGCAAGAAGGGACATCCCAGATGAAGGACGCATCTGGATGACACAGCGCGGCTGGAACCTTATGGTCACTACACACTGACAGAAGGCGCACAAAATGACTGAGAAACAGATTCGCAATGGCAACGGATCGAAGCTGGGCACTGGACAGACTCGGCAGGCCGTTGGCTCGAGCTTTGCTACGGACAGCGGGCTTCTGAGCGAGCCACGTAGTCGTGTCGGGCTCCACCCGCGCGCACGAGATACAGCCTGCACGAATCCATCCGAGCACGCGCTTCATCACTAAAGGATCTGTGATATCATCAGTAACATGGCGTCTCACATTCAAGTGCAGCGCGCCAAAGCCGAGGCGCTGCAGAGCGCGAGCCGCGCCGCCGTCGCCGCCAATTACTAGGGCGGGCGAGTGCCTGGACCGCGTCGCAGCACGCCTGGCTGCACGCCAAATCCTCGTCAGGCGAAGGCCCACCGCGCTGTCACTCGCGGGGGCGGAGGCCTGACCGCTGGCGGTGTCGGCGTCACGGCAAGCGGCACTTGCAGCGGGAAGACGCCTGAGGAGGTGGTCTGCAGAATGAGATCGTTCATCTGCGAGTCGACCGCGTGCCCGAAGTCGATCAGGTTCTGGCCTAGGGAGGCGATCCGCTGCTGCATACGAGCCCTCTTGGCATAGCGGAGGAGGCTCTGGTCCGTCCTCCATCGGCCGCGGTCCTTGACCTCCTTCCTGGTGCGTCGGAGAGACAGGAGGTCGTCGGACGCTCCCCCATGCCGAAGGGAGTAGAGCGTCATCTCGGCCTCCAACCCGAGCGCAGCGGCAGCACGACGGAACATGCTCCGCACCTCGTCGGGGGCGAAGGTCCAGAGGCCGTCGCTCGTCTTCTTGCCCAGCACCAGCGCGTCGAGAAGGGGCCAGAGCGTCGGGTTGTCGACGATCACGCTCTCGTCCATCTCCCCTGTCTTCCCAGGACGATCGAGGCAGGCGTCGTCGACGATCA